CGGTACAGCAGCTGCGTGATTACAAACCGGACGCCTATGAGTCAGTGAGACCGCACAATTGATGTGGACCATTTTGTCCCCCGTGTCTGACGGCTGCCGCCGTGCCGCTTCTCCTCTGCTTCTCCTCTGCTTCGCCTGTGGGCGCCCGTGTGCGCATGATGCCGCTGTTTGTTCTGCAACGCCGGTCGACGTGGGCGAGAACCGCCGCCTTGACGACTGGGGGGCGTGGCGCGGCCAGGTGGATGGTGTTGTTGGAGCTGCATCTTCTTTTTTTCTCTCTTTTTTTTGGAATTCAGGGATGTGCGAAGGCGCGTTCACGAGATTTGTATTGGAAGAAAGTTTGTAATCAAAGAGAAAGTGTCATGGGTTGTTCTAATTCGCTGGAGCAAACAATGAGGCAAGCGGATGCTGACAATGAGTGCGAGTCTATTTTGAGTCTTTTTCCCCGCCCCGTGGAGTACGCCGCGATTCAGATTGCGTCGCCCGAGCAGGTTCTTAGGCTGGTGCCGCCGGAGATGCTGGACGGCAAGCAGGTGCAGACGGCCTTCCATGTGACGACGCTGTACATTGGCCGCGGCGGCTGCAAGGACCCGGTGCTGCTGCAGCAGCTGGTGAAGCTGCGTGGTGCGTCCATTCAGCTCACGCTGGTGTCCGTCGTGTCAGACGCGAAGGGGACGGCGATCGCGGTGCGCAACGAGGGGGAGTTCCCCTGCAAAAACGCTCATCCACACATCACCGTTGCGAACGCGCCGGGTGTCCCGGCCGTGTACAGCAACGAGCTGCTGGACGATTCGCATGCGAGCGACCCGTGCCGCGCCGTCGTTCCCCTCCCCGCCGGCACCTGCATTTCCGGGACATTCGGCTTCGCTTTCCACTGACCGCCGGAGACACTGCGGTGCCCGCCCCGCTACTGTGATGGCTCCCTGCGCTCCCCTGCGTTTTCTCTCCCCTGCTTGTGCTCAAATACCTCTGGTGTGCATCGGTGTCTCTCCTCCACTACAGTTTTCCTTCGTGCCCTAGGCTGAGTCCCCACATGTTTCCGCACGGCGGCGGCTGTGGGCCGCTGCCCCACCCACCCACACAGCGCAGGCGTGGAGAGGTGGGCGGCAACGTGCAGCGGAGTCGGGTGTGCCCGTCTGCCGCGCGTGTCTACCGCTTCCTAACCGACGACGTTGTCACGCAGAACAAGGCGTGCAGCAAAGTGCTTCAGGCGCCGTCGGCAACTGTAACGCCGGAAAGAAGCAGCTCCCCGCAGCAGCTCCCTCTCGCCACCAGTGCCCAGTGATTATATCGAACGTCTTTGCTACAGGTGATCTGCCGAGATGACCTCACCAGTGCTACAACCAACCAAGATCGATGAGGGCCGCACCGCCTCTTTCCCCCTTCCTCTGTCCCCGACACACNCACACACATACACATACACACAC